GTCGGCGCCCGACAGCTGTCAGCGTCGCGGGGAGCGAGGAGGGAGGAGAGGAGGGGGAGGGGAGGAGGAGGAGGAGGAGGAGGGGGAGGAGGAGGAGGAGGAGGGAGGGAGGAGGAGGAGGAGGAGGAGGAGGAGGAGGAGGTGGAGGGGAGGTGGAGGGAGGAGGAGGAGGAGGAGGAGGAGGAGGAGGAGGAGGAGGAGGAGAGAGAGGAGAGGAGGAGGAGGAGGAGGAGGAGGAGGAGGAGGGGGAGGGAGGAGGAGAGGAGAGGAGGAGGAGGGGGGGAGGAGGAGGAGGAGGAGGAGGGGAGGTGGAGGGAGGAGAGGAGGTGGGAGGAGTGTGGAGGAGGAGGAGGAGGGGGAGGAGGAGGAGGAGGGGGAGGAGGTATAGGAGGAGGAGGAGGAGGAGGAGGAGGAGGAGGAGAGGAGAAGGAGGAGTAGGAGGAAGAGGAGGAGGAGGGGAGGAAGGGAGGAGGAGGAGGAGGAGGAGGAGGAGGAGGAGGAGGTGGAGGTAGGGGGAGGTGGTGGAGGGGCAGGAGTAGTAGGGGGAGGTGGAGGAGGGGGAGGAGGAGGAGGAGGAGGAGGAGGAGGGGGGGCCCGCCCTCCGGCTCGTCCCCTCGGCGCGATCGGAAGTTCTGCACGGCAAGAGCGGGGGCGAAGACCGGCTGCGCTTCATGTTTCTTTTGAGCGGGCCGCTCCGCCCACGGGCGTCCCCAGACCCCCTCGCGTCGTGAAAAAATCACGACGGAATGTTTTTCCTTATTTTTGGCCTTTGGGGGCCCTTACCGGCCCTCGGGACCGTCCAAAAACGACTCAGGACGAAAAACCGGCCCCGGGGAATGGGTCGAGACCTCGGGGGGTCAACGTCATGAAAAAATCATGACGTCGGGGGTCTGGGTCTGTGGGGGTGCGCGCCGGCGGGCGGACGGGCATTTCCGCATCCCCGTCGCGCGGGTCGAAGCCCACAGGGGGCTCCACCTGGGGCCTCAGTGGGGAGGTGCGCATGTGGGCTCGCGCCCGCTTCGGCACACCCTTCACGCGGATCTTGCCCTGATAGAGGGCTCCACCTACGGTCCCAGTGTGTGTGTGTGTATCGCACGCAAAAAAACGGGGTGTCATTGGGAAAGGGGAGGGAGGGGGGGCCATAGGAATTATGTGGGGTTTAGGAATTGGGGGGGGGGGGGGGAAACGGACCAATTAGTAGGATTTGAGTTAGAACTCCTATAGGGCAAGCCTATTTGGGCAGTTTAAATGTCTGTCTGTCTGTCTGTCTGTCTGTCTGTCTGTCTGTCTGTCTGTCTGTCTGTCTGTCTGTCTGTCTGTCTGTCTGTCTGTCTGTCTGTGTCTGTCTGTCTGTCTGTCTGTATGTATGCATGCATGTATGTATGTATGTATGTATGTATGTATGTATGCATACATGTAGATGTGTGTGTACGCACACAGCCAGTGTTAGTTGCATTAGGTGTTGGGAAAGCTTGACACGTTGGGGTGTCCCTGGGAGGCTCCGTGGATACTTGGAGCCGTAGCGGGGCCTATGTGAGGCATCTCGGAGGACATCTTGAGCATTATTGAGCCATCTTACGCCATCTTGGTAAGCCCTAGCATCTGGAGCACTATTTGGGCCAAGTTCGCTCGACGGTCTCCTGAGGATGCCCTCGGCATGCCGAAACCATAACGCACATTGTGCTGATCAAGGGGGAGACCCTAACACTGCATCTTCCCATATAGGGCACCCAACGGCCCTCTTGGGGCGCTCTTGGAGCTCTCGTGGACACTCTTCGGGCAACCTTGGGGCCACCTCGCCCCCCCCCCCTCCCTGGGGCCCTGTTGGGCAGTCTTGGGACCATCTTGGGACTCTTGACGCCCATCGGAAGCGACACGGCGAGAACGCATACATAACATGTGCCTTGTTGGTGGTGGAAGGAGTTGGGCCTCTTGGGGGGGCGTCCTGAGAATGCTCCGTGGCCACTTGGAGCCGTCTTGGGGAGGTATTTGGGCCTCTTGGGCGCATGTTTAACGCGATATTGGGCCATCTTGGCATATCCTGACCCATCTTTGAGGCCGTATTGGGCGGCTATTCTTAAGCGTTCTTGGAGCCACGTTGGGCCATCCTGGGCGCTTTTATCGGTCGCGGCCCTCCCGTCCACACCCAGGGGGGTAGGGGGAGGGGTCAAGCTACCCCAAAGGACAGCCGCACCCCGTCTCGCTCACGCCCACCCGCCATCCCACCGCAGAAGTGGCATCCGAGTCTCCGTGCCAGATGCACCAACCAGCACACGTTGCGGCACACAGTTGGGAACATGTCGACCCCCACACCATCCGTGCCCAACGTAGATTTGACACGTCGGCCAGGCGGCCACCGTGAGGCACGAGATGCACCCGCAAGCACTCTGTGCCAGTTGCTTGCGGCAGGAAGGGGCGGCCCGCACGCAGCCCCCCCCACCATCCCCGCCAAAAGACCATGCAAGGTTACCCCTCGCGCATGCTCCAAGGCGCTGGGGGGAGGGGCACGGCTTCCACCCCGCCCTTTCTCGGTCTGCAAAACTAATCGAAGAGGAATGTGTGTATGATATATATATATATGTGTGTGTGTAATCACATATACAAGACTCCTTTGGTGTTTCGTGCGATGCACCTTGGTTATTCAGTTTCGGCTGGCGGGTGGAATGAGAGAAAGAGAGGTAGATAAGTAAGCGCAGCGAGAACTCGTTGTTGCCGTTGTCGTTGGCGTCGTTGCTCCTTTCGCTTCAACACATTGCCTCTTCCTCTTCGTTCCCGTCTTACCCTACGAACCATTCCCCGTCCTCCTCCGCTTTCTGCGCGAAGGTTCCTCCTTGGAAAGCTGTTTGGGGGGCTTCGCGGAACCTTTTTGCAGGGGCTTCGTGTGAGCGGCCACGAGATCAGCGTGTCACAGATGCCGGGTCGTCCCACTGCGCCGCGCCGCTAAGACGGCCTCGGACGACCCGAAAAGACAGGAGCGGTATAGAGAGAAGAGAAGACGAGGCAAGACTTGACGAGATATGCCCAGACAGCTCCAGGCCGGCCTAGGAGAGCCCCAAGAGAGCCCTCGAGAGGCCACTATCCCTCAAATGCAACACGGAAGGCTAGGTTCGGGGGAGCGTAAGACCCGGGTTTGCCAGGACTCGGGTTCGCCATCGTTTTTTGACGACCGCGCCTCGGATTTTGACGAGGAGGAGTTTCGTGGGATGTCTGCAGCGGGAGGCCTCGTCAAAATGCAGGCTCGGCCTCGTCATTTGTTTGACGATCTCGTCGGGGATTTCCGAGTCCCTTGTACCCAGGTCTTACGTCCCCCTGGTAGGTGCTTTGCTGTTCATTTCTAGTTCGCTCCCGAAGAGCTCCTGCTCTTGAGGCCCGAAGATGGCCTCGCGAGGGCCCCCAAGACGGGCCCGGAAGGGGCCCAACACGGCTTCAGATGCCCCTAGAGGGCCCGACGAGAGCCCCCCCCACCCGTCCAAATTTCGAAAAGGCCAGCAGGATTCACCGTCTTCAGCGCCTCGGTCCAGCTTTTTTTTTTGTGTTTTTTTTTGTTTTTTTCTTTTTTTTTTTATTTTTTTTTTTTTTTTTTTTTTTATTTTTTTTGTTTTTTTTTTTTTCTTGTTCTTTTTTTCTATTCTGTGTTTTATTATTTTCATTTTTTTTTTTTTTTTGAGCTTTTTTTTTCCGTGAGGCCCTGGAGATACCCACGAGGTGCCCAAGAGGTCCCCAAGCAGCCTTCACGCAGGCCCCAAGAGGCCCCCGGGAGGCCTCGGCAGGCCAGGATTTGGAAATCTCCCAGCGTTGGGCAGTGGGAGTGATGAACCCTTTCCCGACGAGGACATGTTCTGAAGTTCAGAGCGTCTCCTCTTCCAACCCCCTTTCTTTCTGGAGTGCGTGCGCAGAGCGTTGGTCATTCGGCCTGCAACACTGGCCCCCCAACAGTACTCAACTCTGAACCACCTGCGCCCAGAGGGCTGGTGGGCTCTGTTTGACCTCCAGTCGGCCGCAGTCGTTGGCCGGAGCAGGCTGCAGAGGTCGAGACTTAGCACACCTCCGAGTGGCAAGTTGTCCAACCATAACAGGCCAAAGCTCATCACCATCAGCACCTTGTCACCACGTGGCCGTTCCTCGTGGATCCTCCACCGCCCTTGGTCGGGTGCTCACTCGCCGGTCCCACGGTGGGCATGGCGCGCGCAGGCTCCTTCGCCCTCTGGTTGCCCCGCCTTTCTGCACCTGCCCGATCCCTCCGCAGCAGGCGGGGCTGGGGATACGGGGGGCGATGGGGCCCACTGGCTGGCGCGCGCGCGCGCGGCGGCCATGACCCGGCATGGCGCGCCAGAGCTGCGAGCGGCACCGCCAAGGCGACACGCGCCCGCCGCGGCCGCTGCCGCTCCCGCGCTGCCCCCTCCTCCTCCGCCCTCTCTTCCCCCGCCCTATTTTCCCATCAGGGCCCTCGCCGGCGCGCGCGGGGGGCGGCGGGGGGCGGGGGGAGGGGCGGGGCCATGCCCGGGGCGCGGGGGAGGGCACCGTTTTCCGCGCGCGTCCGGCGCTTTTTTCTTTTTTGCCGCGTGGGCGCGTCGCGTGGCGGCGGGGGCGGCGCTGCGCGCGTCCGTGGGCGCGGCGCGGGCGGCCGCCGCGCGCGGCTGCGGGGGCGCGCACGCGCGGGCTGGGCCCCGCGGGCGCGGCGGAGGCGGCGCGGCGGGGGTCCTGGCCGCGCTGGGGTGCACGGCGCGCGGTCGGCGGCCTGCCGCGGCGCCGGGGCGCGAGGCGTCGCGCCGTGCCGTCGCGGCGGGGGCGGCGCGGGCCACGGGGTGCGGCGGCGGCGTGGAGGTGGTCTCGGGGGCGCGTGGAGGGAGGGTCTGGGTTCCCAGGGGTGGGGCTGGGGAGGGAGCCCTGCTGGCTGCTCACAGGCCCTGCCTCGGGGGCAGTGCGAGGCGGCATTTCCCCCGCGCCCCTCCTCTGTCCCTGCCCCACCTCCACGTCCCCCCGATCGTCACGGACGCCAGGGACCCTCGCCTGGCGCTGTACCGCGCGCGGTTGCGCCGGGACCACGACGCGTACATCGACCGCGGCTGCTCGCTGGCCGCGGAGGCGCTGTTCGAGGCGGGGCTGGTGGACGAGGCCGAGCGGCGCAGGTTGCAGACACACCCGCGCAGGCGCGGGGAGCTGAGGAGGCTCCCGTGCGTCGTCGCCGTGCACTACTCTTGGGATACCGAGGGACAGAGAACAGCATGCACATAAGCTTTCGAAGTTCCGCGCAGATGTTCTGCATCCTCGCTGGGCCGCCTCCACGCAGATGTTCCGCATCGGCGTTGGGCCCCCCCCCGGCGGCGCCCTCTGCATGCCGGGGAGCACCCATCGAACAAAAACCCGCGCGGAGCTCCGAGAGTAAAAGCTGGTGCTGCTTTCTGCTCCGGCAGGACTGCTTCAGGCAGCTCGTGGCGGCCGTCCAGGCCGGGCGGCGGATCTTCGTGGGGTCGGCGCTGGTGCCCACGGGCACCCCCGAGGAGCTCGTGGACCTCGTGCGCGGCATCCCGCGGGCGACCTACGCCGTGGACCGCGCCGTGTTCGAGCCCGAGTTTGGCCAGGAGGCGGGCGACATCAGCGACGTCAGCGACGAGCCGCCCCCGCGGCGCGGCGGCGGCGCCCTGTGGGAGGCGGGCGAGGCGAGGCGGTCCCCCTGGAGGCGCTACGAGGGCGGGGCGGCGCAGAGCACGATCCGGTACACCGTCGTGTGCCCTTTTGGCATGGCTCGGACGTGTGCATTTTATCCTTCGGCGAGGACAATCGAGGGGCACCCTTGAGCCTTTGGCGAAAAGAGCCACGCACGGAGCCGAAACAAAAAGACACAGGGAATGTGGACGTCCGAGCGACGGCGAGGTACCCGTTGTCGACCCCGCTGGCGCAGATGAGGCCGCCCTTTCTCGTCCTCGACGACCTCACCTCCTGAAAGCCACCACGCGCAGGAGGCACGATTCCCAGGGGATCGGGGCTCGTTTTTTCGGGTCTCTCTGGCACAGTGTGGGGTCTGTCTGCGGGGAGTCGTGGTTCGAGGATGCGTGCACTGCAGCCCCTTGAAATCTGAAGGGCTTCGCCCCCTGCCGCCAACCCGCCCTTCTGATTGCCAGCTTGGCTGGATTGGTCAGTTTATTGGCTGATGGGTTGGCTTGTTGGCAGCTTGGCCGGCTGGCTGGTTGGCAGGTTGATCGGCTAGGTGTCTGGTTGTCAGGCTGGCTGGTTGGCTTGTTGGATGCGCTCTGGTTTGCCGGCGGGTTCGCTAAAAGGCGGAATGGTCAAACGAAAGGGACGGAGCAAGGGGCGTATTTTGTGAGGGATCGTGGCTGCGTGCGCTCAAGCAAAGCCATTGCATTTTGCAAGGGGTCGTGGCTGCACGAGCGCGGATCCACAGGTTTGCAGGGGATCCTGGTCTCGGGAGTTCCGGCCTATTTTGTCTTTCACGAGGCATCGTGGTCTCGGGAATGCTGCGCGTCCTCGCGGCCTCGTGAGCGTGGACAACACAGCTCCTTCCATGACATTTGAGAACCGTGTTTTTTTGGCCTGCGAAGCCTCGCGACCTCTGGAGCCTTGGCCCGCCACTCTCGCAGGGACCCGTGGCCCCGGGAGCGCGGAGCTCCCTCGAGGCACCGCTGAGCGCCCTGGGCGCGCCGCACCTCCTGCCCTTTGCAGCGCGCGGCGGCGCCGTGGCACCGGCCCCGCGCGGGCCGAGACTCGCTCCTGCAGCGGGGCCCCCGCGGCCCCCTGGGCAGCGCGGGCCCCGGCGTGCTCCGCAGGGAGGCCGCGTAGCTGCGGGGTCGCTGGCGTCCCTCTTTGTTCTCCCCGCGGCCTTCTGTCTCCCCCTCTCTGGCGCCCGGCGCGCCGGGCCCCGCCCCTGGCACGCCCCTGCCCCCCCCCCTGCGCCCCTCACAGGTCGGGGCTTGGTCGGGGCTCGGTCGGGGCTTGGTCGGGGCTTGGCCGCGGCTGCGGGGTCCGGTGGCGTCCCTTTTCTCCCCGCAGCCTCGTCTCCCCGGCGCGCTGGGCCCCGCCCCTGCACGCCCCTGACCCCCCTCTCCGCTCTTCACTCCTCCACCAGCGCCCCCACCGCATCCCTGTGCACACTGCGAGGGCGTCTCAGGGGAGAGCGCGATCCAAAGGTCGGTTGTGAGGACGTCTATAGGGCGAGAGTGCGAGCCCAGGGCGGCAGGAGCACGATCCTGGAATGAATCACAGCGGGAAACTGCGGGCGATCGCGCAGGTTGGGCTTGGTCGGGGGGAGCATTTGCACCTTGGCGCCCGTGCTGTTGGATGCCGCGTGTTGCTGCCGGCAGCCGGTGAGTGCCGCACTAAAGCTGACCGTCTCCTCGGCGAATCAGGGCGCAATCCAGTCCTTCCGCTCCTCCTCGCCCTCGTCATCGCACTGCTTCCACTCTCGCGCGGCATGGCGTTCGCTCTCACGGGTCGAGTGGGCATCCCGCTCTCCCAGGGCAGCGCCGCGTCGTGGGCTTGCGCGCGTGGTGCCCCGCCTGAGGCTTCTCGTCGAGGCGTTGGAGTCCTGGCGTTAAGTCGGGCCTGTCCCTCTACCGGGGGAAAATTCAAAAATAGTCAAAAAATAGTCTGGGGTTATGTTTAAAGTATTTTTTGACCACGTTGGAGTATGTTTGAAGTATTTTTATTTTTCGTCGAAAATCCCCCTGTAAGGGGACGCGCCCGACTTAATCCTAGCGGGGTCGTGGATCCTAGTGAAGTAAGTTGCGGTGGACCTCCCGCTTTCGTCGGGTTGCGATGCCTCGTGAAAACATTGGAGCAGCGACTTCCCCCCCTTTGAGGGCTCCTATCGGACACCGCTGCTGCTGGTGACTCTCTGCCTGATCGGACATTTGCTGGCCCGAGGGTTCGGCGTGGGAGTGCTTGATACATGCTTACGTCGTGTGGCTTCCCACTGCCAGTCATACTGACCGACCTTTTGATCCGGAGCGGTATGAAGTAATCGGGTGAAGTTGCCTCCTCCCCCCCTCTCAGGTACACGGCTTCTCGTAGAAGGATGATCGCACGGGGGTTTGGAACAGGATGAGGCGGAGTCGTCCTCTCAGCGGGAGGTTTAAACTGAGATTGTACATCCCTCCTCGCCCCACCCTCACCTCGCAATCCAAGCGGATCTCCTCGACTATTGGTCTCGCAGGTGTAGTGGACTTTTTGCTTGATGCCGAGGGGGTGTTCTGAACTGAATTCCGTGCCTCAGATGAAAAAATACGGCGGATCAGATGCCGAGCTTCCACGAATGATGCAATATTGCGAATTGGTGCGATGCATTGACGAGAAATCAGCTGCTCAGTTGTTGAAGCCTCACCTCCGCAGCCTGATGGACCCCGAAAGGGGGGCGGGCGGATTTCAGCTTCCTGCGTGCAGTGGCATTCAGTCGTCTGCACAGAACGTCGGCCAGATACTGCGCACTGCGTACCACCTCGGCGTGGTGTCGGTGGTGGCTTCTCGTGCATCTTGGAGCTCGCTGCACGGTCGCGCTTGTAGGGTGAGCATGGGCTGGTTGTACAGGATGGACTGCCACTTGGCTGAGCCGCTAACCCGCTCGCTGGAGGAGCTCAAGCGCATGGGTATCCGCGTCCTTGCTGCCGAGAACCAGTTCTCGCAACCGGTCGCACAGCACCCACCACCAGGCCGCTCTTCATCCTGCTCCCCCCCTCTTTTTTCACCTCCCCCGTCGCGTCCTCTTCCTCCTCCTCCTCCTCCTCCTCCTCCTCCTCCTCCTCCTCCTCCTCCTCCTCCCATCATCCTCCCTCGTCCATCCTTCTCATTGCCCCTAGCCATTCTGGCTCAAGTGTCGAGTTTTCCTTGTGAACCAAGTGGATGCGCTGATCCGCGGCAGGCAAGACTGTTCAGCCTAGCATCCTCTTTCCATGGCTGGTCCTCCCCAGTCTACCGCCTGCCTCCGAGGCCTCAGGTGAGCAAATCTCTTTCTCATCCCGCTACCACGCAGCATTCTGCCGAAGCCTCCCTCGGATCGCTTCTCTCGGGCCAGCGACTCCAAGTCTGTGATTACAAGACGTGCTACGGCAAAGCATCCGTACCATTTCATTGTTTTCGGCTGGAGCAGGTGCTTTCGCTGCAATGCGTGGATTCGTTACGTTCCTATGCGTGATAGCGCGCGGGGCGCTCCTAGGCCGTGGGCCGATGGAGAGTCACAGGCCAAGGAGCCAAGGAAGCCTGGAAGCCAGTCGACAATGGCAAGCGTGGTCGACGCCAGTATGCAAGTTGTTCGGCTCAGGGGTCCGCAGATGTTGTTGGAGGGGGGAGGCTCTATCGACTGGCCCCGCACCTGCAGGAGCTGGCAGAAGGACGGGAGTCTCGTCGTCAGGAGGGCAGCGCGATCACCCTTCGAAAGCGATTGAGCAGCCCAAGAAGGCACGGCACCATGATGGTCACCTGCTGCTGGTTGCTGTTGTGCAAGTTGTCATAAATGAGCTCCCAGCCACTTCGGGCACGCCACGGGCTTGCGTTCGGTCTCGCTGGGGCAAGCTCGCACATCTCCAGAAGCAGCTGGAGAGGGGCAAGAAAGCAGAGGCTCCGGAATGGCAGGCGAGGACCGAAGGGCAGTGGATCGCAGGAGCTGCGTGGATCACACCAGGCCGGGGTGCAGGAGGCAGTCTGGCGCGGAGAAGAGAAGAGGAGCTTAAGAAGCTTTGCAGGATGGGGTGCTTGCAGTCTGCTCCGGGGCCAGTCTCCCGTCACTGGCCTTGGCGGACACGCTGGTCGGCCATCGCCCTTTTCCAGCAGGCGCACCGAGGCCAGTCTGCGGTTCTGCACGCGGCATGCTGGGCCAGTTGCTTTCGGCAGGTGCTCAGGTTTCAGAGAGCAGAACTTGGCAGCGCCGCTCGGACGTGTGCACTTTCTCTCGGCGGGGATGCTTACTTAAAGAGCATCCTGGATCGTCCTGCGAAAAAGCCACGCACGAAACCGACAAAAAAAAAAACAGGGAGTGAACGTCTGGGCGATGGCCAGAGACACACGCGCCAGGAGGAGGCCTGCTGAGGAGGCCGCCCGCCAAGCCGCCGGCCGTGGCGGGTGGTGGCGGCGGCAACGCCCAGGAAGAGGTGGAGGCGCTTGGCTCGCGCCTGTGCTCTCCTCCTCCTCCTCCTCCTCCTCCTCCTCCTCCTCCTCCTCCTCCTCCTCCCCCTCCTCCTCCTCCTCCCCTCCTCTTCGCGCTGCGGGGACAGGACGTCGAGCCACGCGCAGAGGAGGCCTCCTGCGAGCCGGAAGAGGTGCTGCTTCGACGGCTCGCCGATTGGGGGAATCTCCGAAGGTGGAGTCGGGGAACCGACCCAGCCGGACGCTAACATGTCCGTCTTCCAAGGGCCGTCTGGAGCGTATGTCCGACGGCCCCCCCCCGGCCCCCCCCCCCCGCCCCTCCACGCCACCTTTCTCTCTTGGCATCGCCCGGACGTGTGCAGTTTTCCTTCGGCCGGCGAGGACAATCGAGGAGCATCCCTGATCATTTGGCGAAAAAGCCACGCAGGAAGCCGAAGAAAACACAGGGCGTGGACGTCCGAGCGATAGCGAGTTCTCCGCCGTGCACAGCTGATGCTGTAGGCCTGCCCAGTCGGGGCAGGGGGAGCTCGGGCGCGCCCGTCCATAGAGCGGCGATGGCCCGCTGCCTCTGCTCGAGGGCGCAGGCGCGGCCTCATGGCTCGGAGTGCCACCGCCAGCGTCTGGCCTTGTGGCCCTCAGTGCCAGACCTGCTGCGTCGTGTCGGTGGCTTCGACGGGGACACCGTCACTGGCCGTTTCCTGCGGGCGGGCGGGTCTCGCGCCCGTCCTCTGGTGTGGTGCTCGGTGGTCAAGTTCGAGCGCTCGGCGAGGGCGGTGGGCTTGCAGCATGTTCTGTTCGTGGCGGTAGAGTTCAGAATCGCCGACCTGTGCCAACGCGCGCACGTTGCGCAACGATGCAGCGGCCCTAGCGAAGGCATGCGATGTGTGTGCGTGTGTGCGTGCATCGCACGCCCTGCTGGTTTATCCATCCGTCCCAGGGCACCCAGAGCAAGTTGCCACAAAGGCAATCCATGGATTGGGCATGAAGGTGTGAGCTGCGCTGAAAGACACACACACCGGGTGGCAAGTGCAGAGGACCGAAAGAACGCGCAGCACGCGGGTGTCGCTCGACAGCGCCAGAAGCGGCTGCGGACCATCCCCCCTTCTCCTCTCCATCCCCCCTCCTCGTTCTGGCTCCTCCCTCCCTTTCGCCAGGTCGAGTTTTTGTTCCCTCCCTTCCGCCAGGTCGAGTTGTGTTGTTCCTAGGGTGGGCCCTGTCGATGGATCCGGGTAGGGAAGGGGCATCCCTTGTCACCCTATTGGGGGCTGCGGACTCGTCGGACTCTCTCTGTCTCTCGATATATATATATATATATATATATATATAACGGCAAGGACGACAACGTTCTCGGTCGCCTCGTCACTGTCCTCGCCAGGCTGGCCTTGACCAACGCGGCAGAGCTACGCGACATCGCAGGGATCGTGTTCATCTGCCTACTCCTGCCCATCGACGGCGCCGTCGCGCTGGCCATGAAGGCCGCAGGGCAGACTTACCACGAGACGGTCCAGGCGCTCAAGTCCAAGAACGACGAGAAGGGCCTCGAAGAGTTGGGCCCACCGTACGTGCACATCTTCATGGCCATGGTGCTGGGCATCAATCAGGAACCGTGCGAGCAGTGGACGAAGGACCTCATCCTGGCGTTCTGGATGGCACACATCAAGGGCAAGGGCGCGACGGAGGTGCAAGCAGCAGTACTGCACTGCAAGTGCAGGCCCACGAAGCCCAAGGAGAACAAGAAAGGCATGGTGAAGCTCTCGCTGGCACTCCCCGCCAAACACTCGGAGGTGCAGGATGCGCTGGTCTCGGAGCTCTGCCGCAGGCAGGGACAGATCAAGAGGGGGCCCGCGCCGCGCGGCCCTCTCGAGCGAGCGGCGCAGCAGCTACTGGACGAGTTCGAGGGCAACAAGAAGGGCAAGGCGAAGGGCAGCGGACAGTGAAGATGACAGCCAGCCAGGAGAACATCATAGGCCGCCATTCTCAGCGATTGCTCGACCTAGTCAGACGAAGGCTGGTACCTTTGGAGACAGCTCTTCGCCAGGCCACAGCATCGATGACGGTGGACCCTGTACGACGCCGAACCAAGCACTCTCAATGAGACCTCAAATTTCACATGGCTTCGGAGAGAGTGCGCCAGAGTTGAATTAGATATCACGTGTCTCGGATGTTCATCTGAGATTGCCCACCCCCCTCGGCCCGCAATGCGGTCAAAGTCTGGACACTTGCTCTGAGCGGTGTAGCTGTACCTTGGGGGGTGGGCCATGCACGACAATCACTTTGACGACTTCGATTGCGACGCTACCGAGGGTGGCGGCTAGCACGAGGACTTGCTGTACTGAGACGCTTCGCGACGCCGACGCCCTGACTTGTACACGGTCGCAGTTTTTTGGTCATGTGCGAGTGTTCGCTCCCTTTCTTCCCCTCCTCGCTGGCGGGGTCAATGCCTGGGCGGCGCCAAGGCTTGTGCCACCTGGTGGTCGACCCTCGGGTCTTGCCCCTTTGGGGGCTCCACCTGGTGATGCAGGCCGAGGCGGCGTCCCAGCGGATTGACCACGCCTGGGAAAGAAAAGCCTGCCTGCTGAAATCGCCGTTTCCCCTGAGTGGAGTCACTGATTCAGCGGATTCTTGTTGCCTGTGCGGTGCAGGGCAGCCCCTAAGTCCCCCACCACAGGGCGCTGCAGACTGCCCGAGGGTATCCCCCCCGCACATGCAGCTCATCCCTAAACAGTAGGCTCTCAGGGTAAGGTTAGAAAGCCAGCCACTTTATATGATCTTCTAAGGGTGCTGGTCAGAGTGACCAACACACTCGTTTTTTGATGTGCTGACTTGTGGAACACTGCCCCTCAGAGATTGATTGATTGATATATATATATATATATATATTATATATCTATATATTTATATATGTATATATATATACATTATATATATACGCATATATACATATATTATATTATACATCATACATATATATACATATATATATGTGTGTATGTGTATATATATTACATATACACACATACATGTTACATATATATTATATGTACGTAGTATGTATGTATGTATATATAATATATATAATATATATATATATATTCATCAATGAGTACGGGGATCTGGGCCCCCGAATGCACTGATTTGTCTTCTGGCCGTTTCGGGCCCGGCGGGGGGCACCAAGAAACGTCAAATGGGGGCCCGGTGACGTCCAAGAGGGCGCCGAGGTGGCCCAAGAGCGCTCCGAGGGGGCCCAAGACCGCACAAGAGCGTTGCAACATTGGTCCAACATAGCTTGAAGTCGGGGGCGGCAAAGAGGGGGTGATGACGAGGGGGGGGGGATATCATGGCGGGGGCCATGATATTTCCCCAGATTTCATGGCGCCTCTTCTTGTTTCATTACGTCCCTGGCCCCCCCGCTTGGCCGCGCACATGCCGCCAACCATGATTTGCACCCCCCTCTCTTGGACACCCCCCTCTTGGCCGCTCCTGATGAAGAGAGCCCAAAGAGGGCTTCGAGACGGCCAAGATGCCCCCAAGAAGCACGCCCCAGAGAGGCCGAAGGCTGACGCCAACAGGGCCCGGAGAGCGGGAAAAGCAGAGAAGACGCAGTACAAAGACATGTCTTCGGCCTTCTCGCTCGTACACCATCGCTTGACTCGGGGGGGCGTCAGGGCGACCCCAGGATGGCCACAGCAGGGCGCAAGACGGGCCCGAGGAGGCGCAATTCGTTTTTTGGGGTGGGGGGCGCGGGCCTGTGGGCTCCCCTGGCCCTATAAAGATATATAAATAGGAATGCAGTCGGGGCGCTGAAGAAGGAAGCCTTTTCGTTTGGAAGGGGCTCGGTGTTCCTTCATTGTTCCACACCCTGCCTAAGGCTCTCCCTTCAGTTTCGATGGGAAATCGAAGGTTAACTTGTGGAAGAAGGGGCCTCGCTCCTTGTTTAGGGTTCCTTAGGTCAACGCTTCGACTGCACGCAGGCTCCCCGCAGCGTCGTGCGACCCTCCGCCAGGCCGCGACTGGGCGCTCGTGGTCGGGCACGAGGGCCGGGGCATCTCGGCCGCGGTGGTGGCGGCCAGCGACGCCTGCGTCTGCGTCCCGCAGGCGCGGCGTGCCGTGCATCCGCCTTCACGTCCAGCCACACGTCCCCGTTGCCCTGTCCGCTTACAACAGGTGTGTGTTGTACAGAAATAGAGAGCACGGCAGGGCGCACATGGAGCACATGCAGGGAGAAGGAGGGAGAGGCCGTGTTCGTCCCCCCCTCCTTGCGCCCTCTTCCCTTCCCCCCTTCCCTCCCCTTCGTTATCTTCTTCTCCTCCTCCTCCTCCTCCTCCTCCTCCTCCTCCTCCTCCTCCTCCTCCTCCTCCTCCTCCTCCTCCTCCCCCTCCTCCACCAGGAGCAGGGGATGTGCCTCAACGTGTCGCACGCCGCGGCCATTTGTATGTACGAGCTCTCCAGGGGCTACCTCGGCGCCGGCGGCGCAGGTGGGCTCTGAAGCGCCAGCGGGCCGCTCTGAGCGTCGGAGCGGCCGCTGCATGCCGCGACCGTCGGGGGCCGCTGCGGTCCTCCTCCTGCCCCTCCTCCACCTCCTCCTCCTTCTGCTCCTCCTGCGCCTCCTGCTCCTCCTCCTCCTCCTCCTCCTCCTGCTCTTCCTCCTCCTCCTCCTCCTCCCTCCTGGGCGCTGCGAGCTGACGGCACATGGATCCTGTCGGATGCCACCCGCTCCCTCTCCAGGGGCGGTCGCCCCGGGGGGGCTTGCGCAAAGGCCCCGCGCCCCCCTCCCAGCCAGAGCCTGTGCTCAGGATCTCTGGCTTTACTGCCTGGGGGGGGGCGACACATGGGAGGGGGGGGAGGAGGTGCGTGCACCTTGGGGCCCCGGGGGGCCCCCTCAGGGCCCGATTCAGGGCACAGGAGGGGTACAAGGGGTACCGTGCTCCCCCCCGCACTTGCCGCCCCCCAGTGCGCAAAACGCCCGAGGATCGCGGCGGACGGCAGGGGCTGGAGGCGCGCACAGGGGTCGGACCTCAGACGTTCTCGTGCGTTCTCGTGGGTGCCCGGAGGACTGCCAGCCTCGGGGTGCGCTCCGTCAGCTGCGCCTCGTGGAGGGGGCTCGGGGGGGAGCCGGATCGTCCCGAGCGGCCGACGGAAGCCCGAGCGGTGGCCCGAAGAAGGGACAGCCCCAGGATGAGGAGACACTGCTCCCGAGCGTTCCCGAACGCTCTTGGAGCGCTCTGGAGCGGTCGCGGTGCAGAGATGCCCGATGCAGCTGCATCTGGATTTGTCCTGACCCTGCCTCTGTCTCACCTGGGGTGGGGCGCGGGGGGCGGCCTTCTAAGAACGCGTGGATTCCTCCATAAGAACGCGTGGATTCCTCTATAAGGGTGCTGGGGCCTTCCTGGAAGCCTCCCCGGGCTTCGGGGAGGCCTCGGCAGAGAAGCCTCCGGGCCCTTCCAAGAAGGCCCCCCCCCAGCCCTCCAAGAATCTGGACGCCCGAAATGGGTACGGAAAGAATGGGTACGATGCCCAACAGCAGTTCCTGCTCATTTTGAACAGGGCTCGCTGTCCGCGCCGCCGCGGCCTGTGTCCGTTTGAGACAGAAGGCCCCCCGCCCAAGTGCGGCCGCTGTTGGTTTTTGACAACGTTTGTTGTTGGGCATTGTACCCATTCTTTCCGTGCCCATTTCGGGCGTCCACAAAGAAGCACCCCGCCTCCTCCGAAGGCCCCCGCCCCCTCGCGCCACGCCCTTGTGCACGCCGCGAGCGTCCGAGTGCGGCGGAGGCGTGGTCGGCCGTCCGCACCCTCTTCCGATGCCCACGTCCGGGGGAGTCCTCCTCCTCCTCCTCCTCCTCCTCCTCCTCCTCCTCCTCCTCTCCTCCTCTTTCCTCCTCCTCCTCTCCTCTTTCCTCTCCTCCTCATCCTCCTCTCCTCCTCCTCCTCCTCCTCATCATCTTCCCTCCTCCTCCTCCTCCTCCTCCCGTTTCCTCCTCCTCTGCTCCTCCTCCTCTTCCTCCTCCTCCTCCTCTCTTCCCTCCTCCTCTTCCTCCTCCTCCTCCTCCTCCTCCTCCTCCTCCTCTTTCCTCCTCCTCCTCCTCCTCTTTCCTCCTCCTCCTCCTCCTCCCTCCCTCCTCCCTCCCTCCCTCCAGCGGGCCCGTGGGCACGGCCGCCGCGGCCGGCGGCGAAGAGGCGCGCGAGAGGCGAAGCGCCGCGCTCGGTTCGGCTTCGCGTTTTGGGGGGGCGCCTCGTCGCCACTGCGCGCGCGGCACGCACCTTCGTCGTCGTCGTCGTCGTCGTCGTCGTCGTCGTCGTCGTCGTCCTCGGCCTCGGCCTCGGCCGCCGTCGTCGTCATCGGCGGCGTCTGCGGCGGCGTCGTCGTCAGCGTCGTCGGTCGCGTCGCCGCGGACCTCTCGTCGTCGTGTCGTTGCCGTTGTCGTCATCGTCGTCGTCGTCGCTGGCGGCAGCTTGTTTTTCCTCTATGCCTGGACCTAGCCCCCTCATCAACAGATTCGTCGTCATCGTCATCTTCGTCATATTTGCCATCTTCATCGCTACTATCATCCTAATCAGCAGGTTCACCTTCGTCCTCAGCTGCATAATCATCATCAGCATTGCCATTATCATTCTCACCACCACCATCATCAGCCTCATCAGTATTGTCATCATCCTCACCATCATCATCAGCATCACCATCATCATCATAATCAGCACCATCACCATCATAATCATCATCATCATCATCATCATCATCATCATCATCATCATCATCATCATCGTCGTCGTCATCATCAGCATCAGCATCAGCATCAGCATCAGCATCAGCATCAGCATCAGCATCAGCATCAGCATCAGCATCACCAACAGCAGCATCATCATAATCATCATCAACAGCAACATCATCATCAGCAGCAGCATCATATTTATCATCATTGACATCATTGTCGTTATTGTCATCATATGCCGAAATCCTTCAAAACCCATCGGTTTCGGAAGGATTTCAACATCGTGTGTCCAAAAACACGGATTTTCAACAAAAGCGTGCGCGCGCGCTCTTGCGTCGTCGTCGTCGTCGTCGTCGTCGTCGCCGTCCTCCCTCCTCCGGCGTCGTCGTCGTCGTCGTCGTCGCCTACGTCGCCCTCTGTCTTTCCTCGTGTTCGTCGTCGTCGTCCTCTTTGGCGTCGTGGTCGTTTCCGTCGTCGTTGTCGCCGTGGTCGTCGTTTCCTCTTTCCTTTACGTCGTCGTCCGTCGTCGGCGTCTCGTCGTCGACCCTCCTATTTCGTCGCCGTCGTCGTCGTCGTCGTCGTCTTCCCTCCTCCCTCGTCGTTGTCGTCGTCGGCGTCGCCGTCCTCCCTCCTGCTTCGTCGTTCGCGTCGTCGCCGTCCTCCCTCCTCCCCGTCTCGTCGTTGTCGTCGTTGTCGCCGTCGTCGTCCTCCCTCCTCCCTCGTCGTCGTCGTCGTCTTCGTTGGCGGCGTCGTTGTCGTCGTCGTCGTCGTCGTCGTCGTTGTCTTCGTCGTCGTCGGCGTCGGCATCGTCGTCGTCGGCGTCGCTGTCGTGGTCGTCGGCGTTGTCATCGTCGTCGTCGTCGGCGTCGTCGTCGTCGGTGTCGTCGTCGTCGTCGTCGTCGTCGTCGTGTCGTTGTCGTCGTCGAAGTCGTTGGAGACGTCGTCGGTGTCGTCGTAGTCGTTGTCGGCGGCGCCGTCGTCGTCGTTGTCGCTGTCGTCGTCGTCGTCGGTGTCGTGGCCAAGTGCCATGTGGTACCTACCGTCACGGTCTTGTCTTAAAAGGTCTTGCGACCAAGTTGCGGGTGGGAGGGTGGGATGTTTGCACGAGCAGTGGAGAGGACAGCTTCAAGACGGTCAAAAGTGAATTCATATCCTTAGTTGTCTCGATACGCCCGTATTGAAACGCAACACGTCCCGTGTTCAAGACGTCCGTGTCAATGCGTTGCGTGTTGGCTCCCCGAGTTGGCCCACGTTTTGGCGAACGTATCGCATCGGACCTACGTTTCCTGTCCACGTCCGTATCAATACGCCACGTGTTGCGTGTTGCGTATCGGGGCAGCTAAGTTCATATCTTGTGGGGGGATGGGTCGGAATGGGCGGAGCGCGCTGGCTCGTTCGACATGGCTACTTTGACTGTGACAGTTGCTCTCTTGCTCTTGTTGTTTCTCTCCATCTGAAAGAGCGCTGTCTGCTGCTACTGGCAAGCACCCCCCCGTCGTTCGAACCATCGGGGGGGGGGGAGGGGCAAAACAGCCTCCCACTCCGAACCGTTGGGGGGGGGGGGGAAAGGCTGAGAGCCCCCCCCCCACCCCAGTTCAGACTGGGGGGGAATTCCATTACAACCGAATCCAGCCCCAAGTGGAATCGATCTGATCTAGATGTAGCTTTTGTAGGGTTATATTAGAGCTGGGTTTGATCGAGTCCTAATAGTATTCTATTAGAGTTGCAGCCATACCATAGTGGGACCCAAGTCGAGTTGGATCGGGCACTGGTAGGATACTGCTAGAGCTGGATCCAGCCCATGCTGGGATTGTATCAGGGTTGGATGGAGCTCTAGTAGGGTTCCATCTATTAGAGCTGGGTCCAGCCTTTGTCGCAGGATTCGATGAGAGCTGAATCGAGTCTGGGCGCAATTCCAGTCGAGCAGGGCCCAGTCCTAGTAGGATTCTAGTAGAGCTGGATCTAGCCTTTATGCGACTATATGTATTAGGGCTTGGTCGAGCCCTCGTAGGATTGCTTCGGAACTGGATCCAGCCCTAGTGGCAGGATTTGATTCACTCCGGCTCGCGCCGCCCTACCCCACCCCATCCCACCCCCCCAGGTTCGAATCGGGGGGGCGGAGGGTTTTGCACCGCACCCGCGGTTTCCGGGGAGGGGTGGGGGGCTTCCCCCCCCGTCCCCCCTTCCGGTTCCCCCCTTCCGGTTCCCAAGGAAGGGGGGGGGATTTTTACTTCTTCCCTCTTCCCCAGTTTCCCGGAGGGGGGAAAGATCTTGTTCCAATCAGGCGACGGTAGATCGCCGCGTTGCCTCCAACATCTTCAGCCTGTTCCTCTCTCCCTTCCTCCTCCTTTTGCGCTTTCTCCATCTTCCCCCCCTCCTCCCCCTCCCCCTCCTCCTCCCCCTCCTCCTCCTTCTCCTCTCCTTCCTCCTCCTCCTCCTCCTCCGCTCCTCCTTCCTTCCCTCCTCCTCTCCTCCCTCCTCCTCTCCCCCTCCTCCTCCCCTCCTCCTCCTCCTCCTCCTCCTCCCTCCTCTCCTCCTCCTCCGTCTCCTCTTCCTCCTCCTCCTCCTCTCCTCCTCTCTCCTCCTCCTCCCACTCCTTCCCCCATCCTGCCGGCCGGAGAACCGCTCCGCCGCGGCGAGGCCGCCCCGGCGATGGCAGGGGCGCGCCGGAGAGGTCCGTGCGCCAGGGGCGCCGCGAGGGGACGGAGGGGGTGCGCGCCCGCGCGGGGGGGGGGGCGCGGGGGAGGAGAGAGGGGGGGGGAGGAGGAGAGGAGGAGGA